TTTAATTTAAAAGCAAAAGTTGAATTTCTTTGATTTCTTTTACAAATAATTTAAAAACCTGGAATCAGCATGTTCAATATATTTTTTTTAGGTGTTACCATTCCTGGAAAGTGATGACTCTACTTACTCTGGATAGTTCAATATTTGCCTTTTTATTTCCCCAGTCCAGCTGAAAAGTCCCTGAACTTTCCTCATGTGACTTTTGGTTGCAGCTGAGTCAATAACGACTTCAAGTTTGTGCCAATGATTGCAGGTTTTTTTTGTTTTTTTTAGTGAATCTGATTAGTGCGAGCAGTTTTATTTCATTTAAAGGGACTTTAATGAAACGTCACCATTTTAAGCTTTGTTTTGGAGAAGTCTCCCTCCAGCAGCTCCAGGACTGTTGATCTGATAAATGCTGTAATTTTGGCATTTTTAAAAACAGATAACAAACCTTTTAACCCCACGGCCGGGTCACATACAGTCTCTCTACCTTATTCATGTCATTTGTTCCATATCTGTCACTTGTCAGATGAATGCACACACCCACAACTCTTGCAAACTGCACTTCACTGTCTCTTTTCTCCTTGTTTTTGGGACTATTTTCTCTGTAACAGGTAGTTTTTTCTTGTTATAACTCATTCTTGTGCAGCCTTGTGGTCCAATCATTGCATTTTATTCATCTTGCAAAGCATCATTGCAAAATTACCTGAATATCTGACTTGTCTTTTTAATTATAGATCGATTTCTCATCAAACTAGGGCCCGAGATTTTATAGTCGAGAAGCTTTTAAATATTATGCACCCAGGTATTGGAACAGAATTCAAAACCTGTTGAGATGAGATAGTCTGATCCCATTTGACAGGTTTAAGGCCCTGGTGTCCCACATGGAGCTGTACGAGTGTCCTTTAAGTTTAACTTGTACACAGTCTCTAACTTATGATGGTTTATTCTGTATGTGTAGAGTGTTTTATTTTGATTGTCTATGGTGTTTATTCTGTATTTATTCTGTATTTCAGTAATAGCAGTAAAATGTGTTTTTTGCTTATTGTCATGCTTACAGGGCAGCCATGAAAAAGAGACTCTCTTTGGGGCTTTTCTTGAATAAATAAAGGCTAAGAAGAATCATATCACATTTCACTGCTCATACTGTATGAGCATAAATAGATCCTTGAATGTGCTCAAAGAATAACTTCATATCACAAATCTCTCTTCTTTTTTTTTTTAAAAAACCTTCACGTACTCTGTTCATGTAGTTCCACTAGTCTCCACCAGAGGGAGCCAGACAATGACATGAACAAGTGTCACAGGGCCTGAGGGAGCCCCGGCTCGCTGTTTCTCTTCATTACATGAGTGTGTGACAGGACTCCACTGAGTTAATGCGCTATTAAATCTGTGCTACGGATCCCGAGAGGCGCTCAGGAACAATTAGAAAGTGGATCACAGAGCTGGGAGGGGAAACGGGATCCAGGACACCTGTTGACCTTTGTCGCCACCCTCTCTGCTTCCTTAAAGGCGAATAGTTCTCCGTGTGTCACATTTAGCGATGATTATTTAACTCTTTGTCAGTTTTGTTGATTTAAAACCGTGGCGTGCAGCAGGTTGAGGTGTTTGCTGGTTTTGTTTGATTTAGTAGCTTTAAAGGAAACGAGAGGAAAAGCTAATTGTGGGAGCTTCAGGAGTTCACAGGTTAACCATCAGAAGATAAGGTGTGATGGAGTGAGGAGGTAGAGGAGGAAGTTGCAGAGCCAGACTCACTTCTTCAATCTGTGGTTGGGGTTTTTTTTGCAGCACATTTCATCGCTTTGGGATTTTTTTGTTTTCTGGACGTGAGGTTTGTCACCAACTTATTGGAGGAACGTTGAACCGGCCGCAACCTTTTGCACATTTTGAGTGAAAGTATTTGAGCCTCCTCTCTCTCTGATTGGATCTCCTCTGGATTAACGCGACGGTCCAGATTTCGGAGGGGATTTCTAGTCTCTCGCTCTGTTTTCGGAGGTGTTTTTTTACAGCGATAATCTGAACCACTTAGCCTCAATGTGAAGGAGTTTGGACCATCACACCCTGCGCTTAGTTGTGGAAATAATCCCGAACCATCCATTGGTGCACGAAAAGGGCACGGGGAGGGGGGGAGAAAATAAATAAATAAATAAAGACAGTCAATTAAAAAGGGAGAGCTAAATGGAGTAACAGAAAAAGAGCGATGACACTGTTTCAGAGGCAGGACGAGACAAAGAGGCCGATGGATTGAAAAGGAGTTTAGCAGAGAAAGTCCAGGAATGTAGAAGTAGAGAGAAGGAAAAGAAAAAGGAAGCCAGAAGAAAAGGGGAAGATGAGCGTGAGATGGGAGACGGAGGGACTCCAGACCGTCGGCATCGTCTGCCTGGTGATCATGTTCCTCAAGCTGATGCACCTGCTGGGCCTGATCGACATCACCGAGACCGGTGAGACCACCCGGGAGAGGCGGAGGGAGGAGGACCCGGAGCGAGGAGGAGGCTGGAGGGAAATATTTCACTTTAATCCTGGATGCTTGTTGTTATAAGAGGATTAGGAGCAGTTGCGAGGTGCTTGCAAACATGAGACGAGCTCAACTGGTGTAAATAATAAAGTCGCTTTTTTTTTTGCTTATCTGGGATTTAACAGCGGGAACGTTTCAAAGGCTAAAAACTAATTTCAGCTCAAGTTGTTGTCAGAACAGAGCAGAACCAGCAGTGGGCGGCTCCTTCTTTCATCAATACTCTGTCGACTCAGAGAATAGACGTCTTTGTAAATCTTTAACAACGGGTCTGGGTGTTTTTGTTGTTGTTGGTTTTTAGGAGTAAATAGTGGTTTTGTCAGCTGTGCAGTATTTTCAGCATTTACAGCAAGAGGACAGCAGATATATGTAGTCAACAAACAGTGCTGGTGGTGACGTAATGAAGAGAAATGTGACTTCAGTGCAACAGTGTGGATCACTTTTAATAGTTTTTGGATGAGGAAGGATCACTTCATGGTCAGTTTTGGTCTTTTCCCAGCTTCAAAATGATAAACTTCTTGTGAAGCAGTCTGAGGAACCCAAGAAACATTACCTACACAGCTTTA